CCCACTTCCTGCCACCTCACTGTCGCCTTCTGCCTCCCCAGGGGACCCCGGGGCTGAACAGAGAGACCTGGAGTCTGACTGTGAGATGGAGGTCCCAGAGGACCGGTCAGTGGATGGCCTTCTGCCCTGCAGGAATGAGACCGAGCAGGCTGAGCCCCGTTCACACGCTCCAGAGAGTCCATGTGGAAGTTCCAGGAGGGTCACTGCACAGCTTCTAATTTAGAACCAAGAAGCGTTATCCCCCCACTTCCTCTTCTGTTGCATCCTTTCCCCTAGCAGTGGGAGGGGTGTCACAGGAGGCTGGAAAAAGAAAGTAGCTGTCCTCGATGGATGAGTCGCAGAAGACAGCAGACTGGGGCGAGATGCTGATTCAGGGGCATCTTTTGCCTTCCAGAGCCCACGGATGTAAACAGTAACGTGAGACAAGTCAAAGGGCAGCCAGGCCTGGTTAGGGTCCCAGGGAAACGGGCGTGAACCCTGAGCAGGCTAACAGGCAGCCCTGGACACCTGTGACCAGCATCACCCGAGCCCAGGCTCAAGCTGGGCTCAGACAGTCAGTCAGGGATCCCAGCACAGAGACAACAGAGACAGTCCTGGGAATGAGGGGTCAGGGGGTCGCTGCCTTTACTGGCTGTAAAGCTAAAGCAAGCTGCTGTCACTGTGGCATTCGCCCCCGGGACCTGGTAGATGCTTAACAAATGTTCCTGGTATTCAGTCCTAAACTCGCTGCATCTTAGTTCTTCCAGAGCTAAAAGGGCCTCAGAGTGCATCTGAGCCTCTGTCCTCACATCATAGACAAGAAACTGAGGCCTGGTGCTGGGGAAAAATTTGCCCTAGATGACCCAGCCAGTGTGGCTGTGTCCTTCGCTTCCTCCCCGCTGTCTAGGGTTAGGCACGGTCCTCACCTCTGAAGGCAGCGCACCAGGGAGAGGCAGTATCAGCCAGGCCCTGGCCCAGAGGTGCTGGAAGGTAGCAGCCTGGAGTTTTGGCTGCTCTGCCCATGGCACCCCTTGGTGTAGCCAAAGAGAGTCCTCATGCTGTCAGCAGCTGCAGGTGGAAGGCCACCAGCAGAGGAGACAGCCCAAGGCTGGAGCGGGAGACCCTGGTTCTATTGCTGGCTAAGATGACCTTGGATGTGACCTCTGGCCTAAATGTGTTGGATGAGGATGCAGGACCAGGAGAGCTAGAGAAGCTGGGAATTTGAGCCACAGTCTGTCTCCAGTGTTTCGTGTGCCCGCCTGTGTATCTGTCTCCAAGCGTCTATGTTTTGCCTACCCGGCGTGGCACAGGAAGTGAGCCAGGCACAGGAAGAGATCAGCAGCCTATACGTTCTGCAAAGCCCAAGTTTTGCTTTCTAGCTATAAATTCCCAAAGAGATGAAAACCTGGCCAGCCTGTGTAGGATCCTAAGAGAGGGCGAGCAGATTGTGCCCAGTCACACAGCAAGTTATACCCATAAGGGAAGTTGGTGTTGAGTCTCTGCTAGCTACATCAGTGCTTTTTCTATTGACCACACTGCACTCTGGAATAATGGGTGCAAACGCCATTCACAAGCTGAGGTAGCCTCTAATTTACCTTGCTGGGGGGAATCCTGTGTGGGGAGCCTACCATCTCTCTCTTGCAGTCTGGATTTCTGCTTCAGTAAGACAGCAAGATGGGCTGCACCAAGCGTCTCTGTGAGCTCTTCTGCCCAGTACTAGGGCTCCTCCAGGACTGCAGGGCTTTCCTGAGTGGCCCCTGCTGCCTCTGCCTTGGCCTGTTCTGCCCAGACATAGAGGACCCTGGCCTGGAAATCCCACCCAGACCCCAAGGCTGGGCTGCATCCAGAGTTACAGGCCCCAGCCCAGCTCCCCTCTGAGGATCTGGAATTTTCTTACCATAAAAGGGCAAGTGTGCCTCCCCGGCTCCCTGCTGCCAGCCCTGCTGGGGGAAAGGCTAAGCTATATTTAGAAGACTCAAGGGTTTGCTCTGAATTCAAGATGCAGCTCGTCTGTGCTTGCACCCGGAGCCCCCTCCCCACCTCTTCTTGCCCCGTCACCCTCTGCCCATCCCTGGCCACCTGGCTGTGGCTGCCTCCTGCAGTGTCCCTTCCCTTTTCTCTCTCTCTCCTGCACCTCTCCTCTCTTTCCTCTCTTCCTTCCCGCTCCCTTCTCTTCCTAGCCAGCTTCCCTCCCCCACCCCTCCTTCAGATCTCTCTGGTGGTTGGAGAAAGTAACACATCTGCACCCCCACCCGCTTCTCAAACACTATTTACAACATAAGTTCCAAACATCCGCCATCTGGTTCTAGGAAGGGCCAAAAGTTATTTGGAGAAGGAAGTCACGATTATTCCATCTTCAAAGCCAAAAGAACTTAAAGGCCCTCTCCTTCCCACCTTCCTCGGGGGGCCCTGGGTTAACATCTGACCCATTGGGTCCCTCGGTGGGTGGAGGAGGTCAGGGCATCTACTGGAGGACCAGCAGGGCCTCTGCACACAGGCATCCCTGGGAATTGTTACGTCTCCTCTCTGTGCTCGGTTTTCTCAGGGAACGAGGGCTGTGAACCAAGGATGCTCACAGTGCAAGAGCTGTAACTCCTCACACCCTGGTGCAGAGATCTCAGCTGGTCCTGGCCAGTGGGGCCCAGCTCTAGGCTGAGCAACGAGGAGTGGGATGAGGGGAGGGCTCTGGACACCCCACAGAGTCAGTCCTCGCCCAACCACGTCACACACAGGCAGACCCTGCGGCCCCGAGAGGGCAAGGCCCTTGTCCGTGGTCACACAGTGTCCGTGTCTATGGGAGACCCAGGGCCCTTTCCACCTAGCACTCTCCAGAAGAACCCAAGATTTGTATCACCTAGAGAGTATCACTGAGCCCAGCAAAGCCCCCCAAACCCTGGAGCTCCTGCTGTTTGCAAAGCAGACAGGACAGAAGGCAAAAACAACTTTATTATGGTCGTAGCTTTCAGGTCGTGTTGTTTTGTATGAAATGGGCAGCAGGGAAGGGAAGGACACTGTGGCAGAGGCAGACTAACACCCATAAGAAAACCCCGTGATGCTAGCGACACACAGCCCTCGCCATGGCCCAGCTGGCTTCTACTTAGGCTAAAAATGTTTTCACTTTTCACAACCCCTTCCCACATCTGAAGACTGCCTTGAGACACTGATGTGGGTTATCACTCCAAAAATGGTGCCATAGCCCAGGTACATCGGCATACACCTGTAACAGCAGTTACCTGGGCGGCCAAAGCAGGAGGACTGAAAGTTCAAGGCTAGCCTGGATGACACAGTGAGATACAAAACGAAATTCGAGAAAGGACTTGGGAGGTAGCTCAGTGGTAGAGTGCCCTGGGTTCAATTCCTGGTAACACACACATTAATTAAAAATAAAAATAATCCACAAACAGTCTGGGCTCCCAGCGGAGCCAGGAAAGTGCATGTCCTGGTCTCACACTTAGCAGCTCTGAGACCCTTGTTTCCTCCTCTGTAAGGTGGGGCTCCGAGTGGTAGCCAACTCATCAGCCACCGAGTCAGTGAGGGAGCCATCACTGGGCACAGTCCAAAGTCCCAGGGGCGTCAGTGGTGGCTATGATTACAGCAGGCCCCCAGGCACCTGGTACAGAGGCTCCAGGTCTGGGACCTTCTTTGCCAGCCTCTGCCCTTCCTGAGAGGCCAGGATGACAGGACTGCTTGCCTCCAGGCCCCGCTCCGGATACCTCCCAAGGGCTGAGCTCCCGAGACTCATCTGGGGCCCCCTTTCTTTCCCTCCCTTCTCTTTTCCCTGCTCAAACCAGTTAGGATCTCAAACTGCATTCCCAGGGTTTGCTCCAAAGGCCGGGCGCCCTTCTCTGGGGAGGAAGTGGGAGCGTGTGAGGCTGCTGAACTCAGTGTGGGTGACATAGAGGGGACACGAGGAGGGGACGGGAGGAGGGGCCCAGGCAGCAGCTCCCGCAGCGGCTTCCTGCCTCCCCAGACCTTCGCCGGGCCTCCTCAGTCCTCTTCCCCACTCCTACCCCACACTGTGGCCATTTGTTCCGGACTCGGACTCGTTCATTACACACTGTGGTCTGATCGCTCTTGCCCTCCACCACATTGGACCTCCACAAACAAAGATGAGGTCCAAGGTCAAGTCCAGATGAGTGAAGACCCTGATCCTAGGTCACACAGCCAGTAAGTGCTAGAGCTGTGGGCAGGGCTCATCTTCTTTATTCCTTCCAAATCTAAGGTGGAAACAGGGTGCTGGAGGCCTCGTCGAGGAAGGCTGCAGCGCCCACACATTTGTGGAGCTGGAGGCAGAGGTGAAAGCCAGGGTGGTGGCCAGGCAGCCCCTACAGAAGCGACCAGGTATAAGCGTGGGCGCTGGGCTTGCTCCGAGCTCTGGCCTCCATTCTCCCCACAGCAAGGCCATCTGGCTTACAGATGTGGTCCATCCCCATTCCCTTATGTTTCTTGGAAACAAGCAAGGACAGGAGAGCCCATTAGGCTTCTGCAGGGACAGCGACAACATGAGCATTCTTTCACAGTCAGCTGGCCAGATCCTGCCCGTGCTCAGGGCAGCTGGGCTGAGCACTCGGAGCCTGGGTCCCAGCCTGCTTATGAACCTCTCACCAGGTGACCCAGCCAGAAAAGGCAAAACCCACAGCCTCTCTGACCCTGGGCAGGGGTGCCCAGGTGACTGAGAGCTCCCCAGACTTACAGGAGTAGTCTGCAGCAAGAAACAGCCATGCGTGGCTCCTGCCGTCCCCATCGCCTGGTTAACCAGTTTCCTCCGCCCGTACATGGCTCCTTTCTTATGTGTAAAGCTAGAGGTAAGGAACTTCCTTCTAGATGGGTTCTTAGCCATGAGCTCCTGCTGCTCTCTAGACCCAAGACCCTCCTGAAAGCCACACTGGTTCATCAGGGCAGTGGTTGCTCTGGCTTCAAGGTCTGGTTCCAACAGGCTCTCCATGCCTGGCAGCCCCAGCAAGGCTCTGGCCAGAGGCAGCCCAGCATCCTCCGACAGGCCGGATCTTTGTTCCTTGCAGGGAAGGACATGGCTGGTGTGGAAAAAGCAGACGCCCAGAGAAGGAACCTCCCAGGGACCAGAGGGAGCAGGTGGCAGGCAGTCCTGGCTGCAGAACTGTGAGTGTCCCCCAGTTCCTCCACACATGCGTCCTGTGTGTGGCTCCTCTAGAGTACCTGGGACCCAGGGACCCCCCACCACGCTGTGCTGATCCTCACTAGGCCTCAGCACAGCAAGGAGCAGCACTCGGTCAAGAAGGCCCTAGCTGAAGGGTGGCAGCAGGGGAAATTGTTGGCCTTTGGGGTCTGAGCAATGGAACCAAAGAAGGGAGATGAGCAGGAGCTGAGACTCCGCCCACGCTCCCTATGCAATAGCCAGGCAAGCCTGTGTGATTTGATGAAGGGGGCTAGGGGAAGATGTAGGAACGTAGCAATCTTCCCTAGAAAGAGTGAATAGGACTAGACTCTGGAGGCAGGAGGCCCCGGGGTAGTGTGACTTTGGATAAGTCACTGAGCCTGGTGGTAACCAACAGTCTCCTTCAGCTTTGGAAAGGCTCTCAAAGCTGGGCTGTCTCCCAGGTGCACGGCAAGCTCCAGAAGGAAGAGCAGCAGTTTTACTGCCTATTTACACACACTTGCCAACTGTGGGCACCTTCATGCTCCTGCTAGAGGGCGGGGCGGGGTGGTGGCCTCATTAATACAGCTGGGGAAACTAAGGCCTAAGAAGTGAAGGGACTCACTCGGAGCCCTTGGGTCAGCAGCAGCAGACGGTCACTTGGTGCCACATCTCCCATGGACAGAATAAAGGAAGAAAGGTGTGGAAGTGAGCAGAGGGATAGAGAGAGGGGGAGGCAAGGGCCGGGGATTTAGCTCAGCAGCATAAGCACCTGCCTGGCAAGTATGAGGTCATGAGTTCGATCCCCGCCTGGTACCGCAAAAAAAAAAAAACAAAACAAAACAAAAACAGAGAGATGGGGAGACAGACTCCAGCAAGGAGTGACACTTCAAGGACATGGGAGAAGACCCAGCCTCCCTTGCATAAAGGGGCCCACCTGTTCTCCCCTCATGTTCCCGAGTGTGCACAGACGTGCACTCTGGCACAGCACACACCCGGTCCTTGCTCTCCAGCAGAAGAGCCCCAGAGACGGGGCCTAAACAAATCGGATTAGAAGGCTGCAGGCGCCTCCTCCCTCCCTGTCCACTCCGACACTGAGCAGGCCTGCGGGCTGCCAGCTGCAGAGCCTCGGCCACACTGACAGCCATCCCAGCCTGGGCCCCAGCCCTGAGCCCCAGGAAGGGGCCGGGGTCCCAGAGGATGCCACAGTGATGGATGGGGTGAGGGAGGCTCCAGGGCCGCCTCTGGAGCACACAGGATGTTAGTGCTTGTGTGAGGCAATTTCCGAGTGTTCCCAGCCCACCCCTACCCCTGCTCCGCCCCCTTCCTCCGGCCTCTCCCATGGTCATTGCTGCCTGGCGGGGACTGGGGCACCATCTGAGGCTCGGCAGAACCCAGGCCCTGTGCGTATACACATCTCTCACTTCTTAGTCCTGCAGCTGGGCTGAGTGGGAAGGGGTTGGCTCAGCAGACACTGGCCTGGGGATGGCACTCACTGGGACTTTAGAGGAAGGAAACTGTGGGCAGAAAGCTGAGGCCATCCTGAAGGTGGCATCTCAGTGTTACTCGTGCATCGTTGGGTTAACCCTCAAAATGTGCTGGGAAGTAGGAGACTGCACATAATCCAGATTGACCACTGGGGTTTCTTCATCAAGCATCCTCTCCCGAGCCCCTAGTCTGTGCCAGGCCCAGTATGGTGCGATGAGAACACAGAGACAAAATACCCATCACCCTCATTCGGTTGTTTATGGGGGTCACTCCCAGGGGACCAGGTCTGGGGACTGGGGCTTCCCTGGGCTTTTGCAGGAGTGATGCCTACAAAGTCCCTTCTCCGCAGGGATCAAATGCTTCCCTCCTTCAAGGGGAGCCGGAGCAATCAGCCCAGCCAGAACCCGACCTGATGTCAGGCAGCCCCAGTTCCTGTCCAGCTCCGTCTCCAGCTGGACCACTGTGGTCAGTGCCGAGGCAGCCCCACACCTGTTCCTCCTCCTGCAAAGTGGTTATATGAAAGCTCCCACTCATAGGGCTGACGGGATTCATCTCACTGTTGTCTGTACTCTCCTTCAGTAGATGGAGAGACAGAAGCCAGGGGAGGAAGGGGCCCAGTTAGGTCAGCAGCAGGTGGGCGCCCTGCTCTCCGGAGTTCTTCCTCCCTGGCTCTTGTCCCACTACCCCCCTAAGCTGCCAGGGGCCAGGACAGTTGATGGTTGGTCCAGGTGGGACGTGTCCTGGGCCCTGCCCAGCCTCACAGCAGCAGAGTCCCGGGGACGAGCGGTGGCCCCCAGCCCTCTGGGTGGCAGTAGAGGTGGGGAGCGCTCAGAGGGCTCCCAGCCCAGCGCAGCTGCCATATAAGGGAAGGAGCCCAGGAGCCTGCTCACCCTGGCCTGAGAGAAACCCCAGACAGCCACTGTTTATTTCTCCTCGCAGCCTCCCCTTCTCCCGCCCCTCTGGAACGTCCAGATAGAAGACAGAGAATCCCCAGCAGGCCGGCTGGCGACATTTCCTGGAGACATGGGGAGAGGGAGGGGAAATGGCTGCCCCCCCCCCCCGGATCAGCCCCCCGGTGTGCCAAAAGCCCTCACTGAACCTCCAGGTAAAACATCCACCTGGTTCAGCCTCCTTCTTTATAGAAGGGGAAGCAAAAATCCCAAGAGGAAAGTGCCCTGCTGATAGACCACAGAGCCAGCTGCCGACAGAACCAGCCTCCCGACCGACACTGTCTCAGCTCCTGACTGGTGCTCCGGTGTGAAGGAGCCTTCATGGGGTAAGTGAAACCAGAATGACATTGCCCCTCTCTGCAAGGAGGCAGGGGTTGGGACAAGCGCCACCTGCCATCCCAGCAAGTATGCGTGACCCAAAAGAAGTGTGCCTGGCACCAGAGAGCCAGGTTGGGGCTCCTGCCCATAACTCTCCTTCCTCGCACCCCGCTACATCCCTCTCCTCCAAGAAGCCTTCCAGCTCTCCCCGGAACAGGAGGCTCTGTGTTTTCTAAGCCTTCGTCAGTCTTGTCATGAACTCTCCTTGCCACTTGGGTCTGTGTGTATCCCTTTCCCTACTCAGAGCACTTCCCATTTTTTGATGTTTGTTTTGGATACTGGGGTTTGAACCCAGGCCTTCCACACTAAGCTCTATCTGCAGCCCTTTTTCACTTTGTTTTGGAGACAGGATCTTGCTAATTTGCTAAGTTGCCTGAGCTGGCCTTAAATTTTCGACCCTCCTGCCTCAGCCTCCCGGAGTGCTGGAATAACAGGTGTGCGACCAGAGCATTTTCCTCCTCCCTCAGCCAGGCCACATCAGTGCTCAGCCCCATGTCCTTGGGCACAGAGGAGGTGCTTGATTTGTCGAATGAACGAGTACAATAATGAGACCTGAACCCAAAGGCCCGAGGGACCCAGCCTGGAGGTTAGTGAAGGGTTAGTGCAATTGGTTACACTGCATTGCAAAGCCTAGCACGGCACTTTGCTCTGTGCCCTCAGGAAGCCCCTACCATGGAGCCTTAAGGAGCCACCAGGATTAGCACGAATAAACATTCACTGGTGGGTTGGATTGAAGTCGTTACCCATGTGATCATTCTAGAACCAAGGCACAGAACCAGGCAGCTTCTAGCCAGGGCTGGGGATAGACACCGTGCAGAGGAGTCACAGCTTCTGTCCGGTGTCACTTTCTCTGCCTCTGCCGCCCTGTCTGCACCCTGGGGTCAGCTGCCTGCTGTCTGTACCGCCCTTCTTCTGGGTGCAGTAGCCATGGCCCCCCACAGCCCCACAGCGCTCTGCGGCTGGGCACCACCTCTTCCCTGCCAGGTCTGAGTGGAGCTGATGCACTCAGCCTCCCTGGCTGCTGGGGTTCAGGGGCACTGCGCCCTGTTTCCCAAACCCCACCATGCAGGTGCCTCCTTTTAAATTTTTGTACGCACTCATAATGTTTTGGAATGTAAGGTGAGTCCTGTGAGTACCTAAAGAGAAACAGTTACCAAAAAATGAAAACGGTAATATGTCCAAAAGGGAAAATAATTGCAGTGAAAATGAAACAACATCACAACTTTGCTGACACTGTGGCTTGCAGGATGCTGAGCCTGAAGCCTGGATGGCGACAGAGGAGTCAGGAAGGAGTCAGGTGGCCACGCTGAGCCTTGCTCCCTGGACAGCAGGATGGAAAGCAAAGCACAGAGGACACCAGAGCCACTCTCTTCCCAAGTGACTTAATGCTCAGGCCACCAACTCCCAGAACTCCGCGCGGGGTCAGGCTGAGCGCCTCCTCTCCCAGGGTGCTGGAGCCGGGGGAGGGCGAGGGCCGCTGGTCCTAGCCAGGGGTGTCTGGGGTTACAAGTGCTCCCTGGCCAGAGACGGTTTGAAGATTTTCTTTTCTTTCTTTTTCCCTCCTGGCCTTCTGCCGTCTTCTTTTTTAAAGGGGTCACTTCACCCTGGGTTCATCCCCGTCTTTTTTTATTTTGAAAGAGAATCTTGCTAAGTTGCCCAGGCTAGATTCGAATTTGTAGTCCTCCTGCGTCAGCCTCCCAGAGTGCTAGAATCACAAGTGTGCAAAAGAGTTTTTGCAAGAGGAAGACCATTCCTTGACTGAGAATACCTCTGGCATGCGTCCCCTCAGCAGACCATCAGAAGGGACCTGCCCCAAGCAAGAGGGTTAGAGAAAGACTCCCACTCCCCACAGAGTGTGGATTGAGCCTTAGATCAGACCCTGATCAGACGGGCATGGGAAGTGTTTCTTTTGTTTGCCAGCCCTGAGAAGGGCTGCCCATACTCTTCAGATATCTCTGAACTGTAGGTCCCTGGCATCAAGGCCACCACAGTTGCTATCAGGCAAAGCAAGAGGGTACTCTGGGGAGCCCCAGGGTGCTGGCAGGCAGGAGGAGTGAGGGGGGAGGTATTCCCACCCCAGCCAGGCCCAGAGAAGGAAGTGCATGGTCTGCGTGGACATTCAGTCTGCTATACATGGCGTCCTCCAGGTGTCCACTACTGTGGACAAAACCGTCCACCAGATCTAGGGACTACAAATTAACAGGATATGGCGCTCTGTCCTCAGAGAACTGGAGATCACACCAAGTTAAAGAGGTGCATTGCAGGGTGTAGTGGCTCACAACTGTAGTCCCAGCATCTGGGAGGCTGAGGCAGGAGGATCACCAAGAGTTTGAGGCCATCCTAGGCTACAAAGTGAGGTCAAAGCCATCTTGGATTATATAGTGAGACCTTGTCTCAAAATAATTTTTAGGGGGCTGGGGATTTAGCTCAGCAGCATAAGCGCCTGCCTTGCAAGCAGGCAGTCGTGAGTTCGATCCCTGGTACCGATAAAAAGGAAAAAGACAAAAAAATAATAATAATAATAATAATTTTTAAAACCTCCAAAACCAAAAAGCTAGTTGAATAACTTATTCTAGAGAGACAGACTGAGGGGTGATCCACACTGCCTGACCCTGATTTCTGGGATAAGGGAAGTTAACCAAATCCTTTCCCTCAAGAATGGGCCATCAGTCCATGACAGGAGATATTCGTAATGAAGGTTGCATTTCCAGGGTGGTAAGGTGCCATCAGGTGCAGTGACACACACCTGTAATCCCAGAACTCTGGGCAGCTGAGGCAGGTAGCTCTCAAATTTGAGCTCATCCTAGAGGACTAGAAATTTAACGAGACTCTGTCTCAAAAAACAAAATAAAAAAAAAAAATGGGGGTGGGGAGCTGGGAATGTAACTGTAGAAAGTACAGAAGTGGAGAAGTTACAGATGGGCGAGATCACGGAACAGGCTGTCATGAGGTTGAAAAGAGCCAGCCAGCTTCCCGGTGTGGTCCTTTGAGTGGGGACTGAGCACAGGAGGAGATGGCGTGGGGAGCCGAGGGGCAGTGCACGTCTGGGGCTCCCTGAAGGAAGGGACACCTGCTCACCAGCTGGAGCAGCGAGCACGGGGACAGAGGCCTGAGAGGAGCAGGCAGAAGGCAGATGGGTGACCCTCCGAGCTTCTCGAGGGTTCAGTGTGAGACCCAGGCAGGGAGGGCCCTTTGCAGATTATAAACCCAAAAAAGGTAGGACCACATTTGCATTTGAGGTCTTTGTTTCCGTTTTGAAAATTCTCTCTGCGAGGGTGGCTGGTAAAAAGGGAGAAGTGGAGCACGAAAGAAAGGTAGGTACAAGGGCTTGATGGTCACAAAATCCAGGCTCATGGCACTGTGTGGCTGCACCACGCATAAAGACGGGGCCATGGGCTCCAAAAGCTGGGTCAGAATAGGTGAATCTGTAGAGACAGAAAATGGTCCAGCTTGGGTTGGAGTTAGCAGCAGGAGGAGGGGTTTTTGGTGTGTAGGAAGATGATAGACTATTTATTCTAAACTTGTGAAAACAGTTGCCCACCTTTGTGCATATTAAAAGCTTTTTAAGGAGCAGGAAATGTAGCTCAGTAGTTACAACGCATGTTTAGTTTGTGCTTGTGTGAGGCCCTGGGTTCAATCCCCAACCCTGCAAGAAAGGAACGAACAAGGTTACTGCATGGTGCACTTTAAATGGGTGGATTCTGTCACAACTAAAGGGGAAAGGCAAGCAGGGCTGGAGGTACAGCTCAGGGCCCGGCAGTAGCTCAGCATCAGGTTCCATCCCAGCTCTGTGAGGAGGGAGAAAGGTGGGAAGGGAGGGAAGGTTGGGTCTGGTCCAGCGAGCTCCCGCGGCTGCCAAGGACGGGAAGCACAGCTGGGGTGGCAGCAGATGTCTCTGGGCAGCTCTAGAAGAGGGAGCCAGGAGGAGTCCCACCTGCGCCCGGCCACCATGCCAGCAGCGTGGCCCTGTCCCCCAGCCTGAGGTGCAGTGCTGCATCTCTGGTCAGTTGGGAGTCTGAGATGAAGCACTGTAGCTCAGGAAGGGAGAAGTCGTTCTGCAGCCTCGGCCTGGATGTGGTAAGTGGTGACCTGGGAGGCTGGCGGGGGGACTGTCCCCGAGCTCCATATCCTCTGCAGCTTTCTGTGCTGCCAGAGCCCTGGACTCCAGATGCACCAAAGTTGCTCTGATTCCTCTGTGCCCGTGGGTCCCTTATTAACATGAGGGGCCCTGCCATTCAGGGTGGCCAGCACTCAGCCCCCTGCCTCTGTTTCCTCCTTTGGAGCCCATGGCAGGGACCACTAACAGCCAGGCAGCTCTGAAGCTTTCTCAGCCTTTGTCCTGGATAGCTGTGAGCCACTGTGAACAACTCAGAACCAAGCACAGTCCAAGTGGAAATCAGACAGCTCCCAAAGACCCTTTAAACTCAGAGTCCTGGCCTCTGAGGTGGGGCTCAGTCTGAGCTCCTATGTGTGGCTGTTTCAGATGAGCAGTGAATAGCACAAGAGAGCAGCTGGGCTGGGCAGTGTTGTCTAACTTCCCAACAAACGGTGAGGAGAAGGCAGTACAATGGGCCCACTTGACAGAGGAACAAACTGAGGCCCAGGGCAGCAACTCACCTAAGGTTGGACCCTAATCCTTCTGCCTTTGGGCCCATGCCCTTACCCCCTGCCATGATTATGGAACTAGTTGGGGAGCCAGAAAAGAACACGGCAAATCCCACTCTGGTCTTGTCTTAATGCTATTGGCCAAAGCAGCCCCAGACACTTCCGTTAACACCATGGGCTCACCCCTGCTCCTGTCCTATTAACCCACCTGTTCTGTAGGTTTTCTAACATCCCATTTTCAGGCTAAGGGTTTCAAGGACTCGCTGGAGGTCATCAGAGGACATTGCCAACTTGAGTGATGGCACACACTTTGCAATGCCAGCCCTCTGGGAAGCTGAGGCAAGAAAATCAAGAGTTCTAGTCCAGCCTGGATAGTGATTTAGCAAGACTCTAGATTAAAAGAAAAAATAAAAACAGGGCTAAGACTGTAAGGCTGGGCCTGGGGATTTAGCTCAGCGGCATAAGCACCTACCTTGCAAGCGCACGGTCGTGAATTCAATCCCTGGTACTGATTAAAAATAAAAAAAAAATTAAAAAAAAACAAAAAACACTGTAAAGCTATAGGCCCTGGGTTTTAGTCTTAGTGCAACAAAAAAAGAAATCTGCCCTGTTCACCCTGTCTCGAGACTCTCGAGACACTTGAGCCAAAACAATTATGAGGGGATTTGGGGGAGAGTCCCAGATGGGTTCTCATCCACAGCTTCACGGGGCTGCCTCAGTGGCGGAGAAGGTACTTTCCGGGGCCCTCGAAGTTCTGGTCACTATTCTTCCAGCAACGAGCCACATCCTGACAGCGTGGCACCTGAGCCAGCTGCTGCCACGGGGCTGACCGCAGAAGAAGCACGCCAGCTGGCTCCCGGGGGCCTGGGACATGCAGGCCTTGGTGCTGACGGCCGCTCTCACACCTTGTCCTCACGGTCCAGTTTTCCCAGGAATCCCTTGGATGCTAAGATGGGGATTCCTGGAAATACTGTTCTTGAGGTCACGGTTTAGCAGCTGGACTCACCTCACCCCCTCCCAGCTCTGCCCCTGCAGGATGAGCGTCAAGAGGAGGACCAAGCCCTGGAGGTAAGAGGGCCCTGAGCCACATGCTTGACCTTTTGGTTGCTTTTCTTTCCACTGCGTCCATTTCAAAACATTTCCATGAGGCTAGCAATGGAACTGTCCACACTTGGGAAACTCGTCCGAAGCCACACAGCTGCGCAGTGGCCGAACCAGGATAATTCCCTCCCATGCCCCCCCCCATCACCCTCTCCTCTGGAGGCCTTGTTACAAGGGGTCACAGCATCACAGTCACATTATTGAGAAACTAAAACATGCACCTGAATTCGTTTAAAAATTTTATTAAATCAGTCAGCCAGGTAGGGTGGGTGGTACATGCCTGCAATCCCAGCTACTCAAGGCTGAGGCAGAAGGATCACAAGTTCAAGACCAGCCTGGATGACATAGAAAGGCCCTGTATCGAAAAAATAGGTTAAAAAATTTATTACATCAGCCAGGTAAACTAAAGACCATAAATCTTTGCTCAATTTGGAATACAGCTACAGAAAAATGAGTAATTTTTCATCAAGGTAGAGAAAACAAGACTCAGGGCGCCCCCTTGTGGTTCCTGTACCCATTGCAGGAACTGTGGCCATTTCACTCCTGGCTCACTCTTCAGCCAGAGACCTGCTTGAGCCTGACCTGCTGGCTCTTACCAGTGATGCCTTCTTCACGGCTGCTTTCCTTCCAAAGCTTGATGTCCTCTTTAAACCCAGCTAACGTCAGTAGAGTTAATGAAGTTCCGCGAAGTACAAGGTCACACAGACAGTAAAAGGCAGGATCAGAACTAGTTTCAAGTTCAGTGTCTTAGCAATCTCTTACCCAAAAGAAAAACCTACATAAATTAAAAACAAAACCTGCCTCCGGGTAACGCTGACTGACTGGATACCAAGAGCCCTGAAGTGGTCTAGGTGCACAGTTAAGCACTTTCCTCAAACCCTTCATGGTGCTCCTTATGGAGGTGGTGACAGCTTGTGGCCTCAGAGTCCTGACTCGGGGGTGTGATCCCCACATTCCCAGGGGCCAGGTGGCTGTGTTCCTAATGCCACACTGGAGATGAGTATGAGCTGAGACCTCTTCCTGCTTGTGTGCGGACCCTGGCCCTGGCCTGACTGGAGATCAGACCTGCTCATAACAACAGTGGCAGTGGTAGCACTGACTGGGACTATAGCTACACTGACAAATGTCTCCTCCTCACCACGGCCCACTGCAGCAGGTTCTGCCATTTGCTCCCTTCTACAGATGAGAGGTTAGGACTCTTTCCTAAAGTTACAGGGCTAAGGAGCTACGAAGCTGGAATCTAATGGGATCTATGTATATGCTTTGAACCACCATGTCGGGGTGCTTGCCACCATTTGCCCTGGCCAGCAAGGCTGTCTCCAGGTGGCTTCTCCTTTGCTGTGGTCTCTCTGTGTTCTGTGACTAATAAAGTGCTGGACCTTTGGCTTGTGTCCTGTCTCTTCCTGGGGATGTGGGAGTGGGAGGCGGTGAAAGCAGGGATGAATCTCTGAATAGCCAGGGCCGGGGTAACTCCCAGGGCCTCCACATGAGCAGATGCTTCCAGAATCGGCATTGACAGCGATGGCCAAGGAGCGCTCAGGGTCTCCTTCAGTCCCAGGTCAAATAGGAAGCACAGGGTCTGAAGCGTTAGGTGAGTTCATGCCTCACACACTTGTTTGGCTCCCGGTGATCTCTGCAATAACCTCAGGCTTTGGTCATACCACAGGTGACATGGCCAACACGCAAGGATGCTGGGGACTCAGTTACCCCACTTTGCCATGAACCTCTCCCAACTGCCACATGTTGAGAATAAAATCTCACCCGTAGGGGCTGGGGGTTTGGCTCAGCAGCATAAGCGCCTGCCTTGAAAGCAGGCAGTCATGAGTTCAATCCCCGGTACCCTTAAAAAGGAAAGACAAAAAAAAAAAATCTTCTTACGTGGTGCCTCGCAGCTGCCTGGGGGCCCCACAGCTTGTGCCCTTGTGCCCAGAAGGAGCTGGCGTCAGGAGCCTGGTGCTGAGCTCCTCACGAGGAGCCCTCCCTGCCAGGCCAGTGCTCCCCCACCGCCACTGCAAGGCCCAGAGACACTGTTCCTCTTGGCCTTGAAACCGGGCCCAGCCAGACCCCGGGGCCTCTCGGTTCCCCAGTCTCTCCTATGGGGCAGTTTCTTTGGAGCTTAAGTCACGTGGACATTACGCCAGCTAAAATCAGGCTTCTCGGCCCCTGTAGACGGCTTGCACACCACAGTTTGGGATTTGCGGGGGCTCTCACATACCGGGGTGCACAGTTCTCAGTGTAGTCTGGTGCACATGAGCGCCTGGCAAGGATGCAGCGGCGCACAGGACCCCCGAGGAGCCCGCTACGGGGACAGCTCGGGCACAGGTGCAGCACCACACCGGGTCCTGCAATCTGCTTGGGGAGCCCACGCTGACCGGCGCTGAACAGTCCTCTAGGGAGGAAAGCAAGTGCCATCTCTCAGTGCCATGCCCAGGTCTCCGTGCTGTGCAGGGAGAGAATCCACGCCGCGGTGAGGAGCCCACGACAGAGCCCCAGGCCCAGGCTCTGCCCAGGTGGAGGGTCTACACCGCCTGTGATTTAGTTAGAGGCCTAGGCCAGTCTGCGCCTCGGTGAAGTGGGTCAGAGACCAGGATGCAGGTAGAGGCGAGAGGGTGCCCTCTTGTGGCCCACAGGCTTCTTTGCATACAAGGACTATTACGTTTATCTCATAAGTGACCATTACCTAAGACATTTGCGTAGGAGTCTGCTGTGCCAGACGCACTTCCCATCCTGTGACGTCACTTCTCATTTGACCTTCCCCGAAATGAGAAGCACATTGTCGTCACGATTTACAGAGGCCCAGCGAGTTTAAACAGTATAAAAATAACATGACCCTAATATCTCAAATGTGTCGAGCATGATTTATTTCTTTCTTTTCCCTTTCTTTCTTTCTTTCTTTCTTTCTTTCTTTCTTTCTTTCTTTCTTTCTTCTTTCTTTCTTTCTTCCTTCCTTCCTTCCTTTCTTTGTCTTTCTTTCGTTCTCTTTCTTTTTTTTTTTTTTTTTTTTTTTTTTTTTTTTTTTGTACTGGGGATGGTACTCGGGGCCTTGCACCTCCTAGGCAAGTGCTGTAACAATGTAACAATAGCTATAGCCCCAGTACTGTGACTTGACTTTGCCCCATGATGCCACTGTGAGGTGCATGCTGTGATCTAATAGTTTGGATGCAGAGTAGGCTGTGACCATTAGACGTGTGCTCTGAGTCCCCCAGCTGATGAGCAGCTGCACCCAGAAGCCCAGGGTGCTCCAGATGCAGCCCTGCCCAGGACCACCACTCTCACACTAGCGAACCTCCACTTGTTCCTGTGAGCCCGGCCACTGCTGTCCAGGGAGCCCTTGGGAGCCCTGACCCCAGGAACCCAACACAGCCTGAAGACGTGCTGGCCTGGAGCCCCAGCCTCCTGTTCTCAGTGCCCAGAGAGGGACCCAGAGGGAGGGTTGGTTTTCTGCCTCAGGGACAAAGATGTGTAAGAGCTGAGAGCAGGAAGGATCCCTGATTGCTGCGGGGTGAGACCCAGGGGCCAGGCAAGGGAGCCCAAACCGGGACCCCAGTCCTGAAAGGCGGGGCTTGAGGGAAGGCTTGGGAGGCCAGCAGGACAGCCTGGCCTTGGGAGGCACCACACCGCAGCAGCGCTGGGGCATCATGACAGTCTGCAGGCCAAGGCCATTGCTGCAAGAAGGAACCCGGACCTGTCCCTGCATGTCAGCCCCAGACCTCCTAGCTGGGAGGAAGACAGGCAGGCTGCCTCCAGGAGCCATCTCAAGGAGGAGGTCACCAGACTTACCCCTTTTTGGAAATTGTGGTGATGGTGCCCCGGAGGCCTTGCCCTGGGGACAAAGAGAGGCATTTCAATTGCACAACCTGTGAGAGGCTGAAGAAATCACAGCTGCATTAATTCAGAGCCTGTCCCCTCTGACCTACACTGGCTACTATGCCGACATCCCCGGAATGCATAGTTCCCTGGCCCATTTAGCCAAATTCCCACAGACAGAGGCTGCACATATCTGCTTGCATACCTCCAGTGATGAGGAGCTCACCACCTCCCCAGTGAGACCTGTGTCCTCCGTCAGCTTTTACTGTTAGTCAACCCCTCAGCTCTCAGGGTGGATTCGCTGCCGCTGCCCCATCCCTTTGTTCCTCCAGGGGGCGCCCTGCGCAGCTCAGGGCAGCCGCTCTGCCTCCCGAAGCTCCAGCTGGACCTGCCCAGTGGCCCAGGGACCTCACAGCCTGAACTGAAATTTGCTCCTCTCCCTACACAGAGCCTGATTTTAAGACTTTGGGATTAGGTTCCCTTTGAGAATCTAACGAAGCCATCATCCATCTCCACGGAGAGTAACACACGCATACCCAGTGTCAAGGGTTAGGTTCGAGGCTCGCAGACCCTGAGAACATTTCCGTGCATGTCACAGTTTCTAGAAAGCATTTGTGCTTTGATATTTGCCTGTGTGTCTGACAAAGGTCCACAGAGGGCCAGACACCGGAGAAGTAAACAAAAACCGACTGGTCATTCAAACAGTTCTGTACCGCGACACACTCAGTGCAGTGGGGACTCTCACCCTGCAAGCAGGGCAGAGAGAAGGGCTTCCCAAAGGAAGCGATGTCTGAGTTGAGATCTTGTCTAGGAGTCTCAGCAGGTCAAGGACAGCACCCAGCCCCTGCAGAGGGAATGGGAGCTCGGTGGGGGTGAGGGATGGTAAGGGGTCTGTTTGTTGGGCTGAGGGCCAGGGTATAAGGGCCACTTGAGGAGTTTGGGTCTTATCTATGGACAGTAAGGAATACAATCAAGTACGCATTTTAAAAAATCACTCCTCTGTGGAGACTGAGGCAGGAGGATCACCCCACATTCAAAACCAGCCTAGGCTACATAGTGAGTTCAAGGCCAGCCTGAATTACATAGCAAGATCCTGTCTCAAAAAACCCAAACAAAGCTGGATGTGGTGGCACATGCCTGGACTCCCAACACTTGGGAGGCTTGGAGGATTGTTGTGAGTTTAAGGCCATCCAGGGCTGGGGATTTAGCTCAGTGGCAAAAGCGCCTGCCTTGCAAGCAGGCAGTCGTGAGTTCGATCCCTGGTACCAATAAAAAAAAGAAAAAAAGACAAAAAAAAAAAGTTTAAGGCCTTCGTAGAGTACATACCAAGACCCCATCTTAAAAAATAAATTAATTAAAAAATTTTAAAAACAATGCAAAACAAAATATTACTTGTAGCTGAGCCCAGCAGCACAAGTTTATAACCCTGGCTACTGAGGAGGCTGAGGCAGGAGGATCACAAGTTTGAGACCAATTTGGGCAACTTACCCAGACCCTGTCTCAAAATAAAAATAATAGGGGATGTAGCCCAGTGCACTCTGGGTTCACTACCCAGTATCAACACGAGAACAGTAACAGCATCCCTAAATGGAACAGGGAAGGCGAAATGTATTCCTCTTCCATATTTTCTTATACCAAAAAAACTGAAAAAATGCAAAAGGAACCTAATACAATTGATTCTGGATAAAAGCAAGACTTCTCAATACATATGTTACAATATTTTGATATATAGCTCTGTCTTCCTTTCTTGTGATTGCCACAGGAAAATACCACTAACTGAGTTGCTCAAAGCAACAAAAATTTATGCTTTCACAGGCTAGAAGCCCAAAATCCAGAGTCTAAAGGCCAGCAAGCATGAGAGGCTCTTTCCACCCTACAGCTCTGCAGCCCTCCGGGCGCTGAGCTCCCTGACCGACTGCGTGGCTCAGGTCTGTGCTTCTGTGGGTACCTGGGCTCCTCCTTTTTGCTCTGCACACCACCGTGGAATTGTCTCATGAGGATTCTAGTCACTGAGCCAGGGCCCACCCCGATCATTTGGGACAATCTCTTCTCCTCTCAAGATCCCTGATTTGATTACACCTGCAAAGATTCTTTTTAAAAATGAGGCCACATTCCCGGACCCTGTGGAGGAGGGTGTGGACTCATCCTTTGGGACACTCTGTTGTCTAACCCATCTGTAACCAGCTCAGAAAGCTCAAAGCACACTTGAGCATCTGTTCCAGCTGTGGGGTGGCAAAGGCCCGTGGGTGTCAGGAGGGGGCACCAGAACAGAGGTAGAGGGCATGGGAGCCCCTGGGGCCTGCTACAGGGAGAGGCCAGGGAGAAGGTAGCGTCCCCAAGCCACGCTGGCTCTGCCTATGAAGCTAGAAAACCTTGGTGCCTTTCTGAGAAGGAGACCGTACGTGACGGAGAGGTCTGTGATGGTCCAGGACGGAAGGCTCCCAGGCGGCCCTGGAGCTCAGCTGGGGAGCCCTTGCCTGAGCGCCCAGGGGTCCACTGCCAGCCTTGAGAAGAAAGCACGCTGGTTTCGAGTTGGTGGTTGGAAGGGGATGGCCTCAGGCCCAGAAAGCAGACGCC